TCAAGAGTTTCATCAATTCTTGGCAGTGGGTATGAGTCCTATTTGGTTATACTGTTAAGAGCCCTGAAGCCCACACAACAACATTGGGTCCCATCCTTCTTCTGGACTAACATGACAGGAGCTGACCAGAGACTATATGTTTTCTCGACTATCCCTCCCTTAATTAGGTCATCCATGACCTCCATCGCTTGTCACTTTGCCGGAGCTATTCTCTTCGAAGGGATCTTTATTGGACGGTGATTGCCTGTGTTTATTCTGTGCTTCACAAGGTCTGTGCAGCTGAGGTCATGATCTCCTTTTGAAAAGACGTCTGCATAACTCGCCAAGAGTTCTCTAACCTGAAGAGCCTGTGATGATTACAAATGGACTGTGCTCTTCTCATAGAGGTCAGTTAAATGCCCTGGGAAAGGGTGTCCTTTCTTTTTGGTTGTATTTCTTGCCTTAACATTGACTAGCTCTATCTCCTGGCACACACCCAACAATGCCCATTCCTTAAGTGTCTGCTCACATTTAGAGAAATTAACCACTATTGTGGGTACTACTTGAAGACCTGCCACAAGTGACCTTCCAATCTTCATGTCTGCTGGCCTGGAAGGGTTTTCCACTGCTTCCACAAGCATCGGGCTTTCTTTTGAGATGTTCTTTTATTCTACCTCAAATTATCTTCTCTGACATAGGAGGTATTGTTGCTGACTTAAGTGCTGTGACATGCAAATCAACAGATGCAGCAAACACTTACCAGAACTTGGCCTTTGTTATTCCCAAACGTCATTTTATCAAAGTTAACTACACACTTCCTTGGTAGTGAGTAGTCCAACCCTAATATGCATTGGTCTTCAATGTCAGCCAAGTATACTTTGTGTCTGTCCTTTATGCTAATGAGCTCAATAGTTACCCATACTGGTCCCCACAACCTTGCATAATGTACTGTCACACCACAGAGTTTCTGTATGGCTTCTGGTACTCCTTTGTAATCTAGCACCTTGATACTCATAAGGGTTTGCTGAGATGCAGAATCTATGACAAAGTTGTACTTTTGGCCATCCAGCTTTCCTGTCATGTAGACACTATTTGTACTTGCTTTTTACACTTGGTTGTTGGGACTTTCATGATGGGGGTTGGTG